TCAATTAATGTACCTCTTTATTTTTTAAATTTAAGGAACAAAGCGCAATATTTCTGCAAAGGACAAATTATTTTCTACATGAAAAATACTTAAAAATGCAAAAGGTATTTCAAATATTGTCTAATTATATACTGTAGTAGTTTACTCTTTCTTAATATTAATTTAAAACATTAATATATTGATAAAAAATTTTTATCGTACAATTATATCGAAATAATTTACGATTTACTTACATAAATTATTTTGATGCTGTGCGATAGAAATTTTTTTTATCAATATATTAATGTTTTAAATTAATATTAAGAAAGAGTAAACTACTACAGTATATAATTAGACAATATTTGAAATACCTTTTGCATTTTTAAGTATTTTTCATGTAGAAAATAATTTGTCCTTTGCAGAAATATTGCGTTTTGTTCCTTAAATTTAAAAAATAAAGAGGTACATTAATTGACAGAGTTTTAAAATGTATTTTTTTTAATGCGTTTTGTTTACATATCATGAAATAATGTTATATCATTCCTAAGGTATTATTAGACAGATCTGTTAGACGATGTCGCTTTTATTGCAATCTAGCTGAAGTTATTCGAGATATGAGGAAATCTGAACCGACGGGGATGATAGGAATGAACGGTTGATGAGGAGAAAGGTGGAGGGCCGTTAAAGCTATGCGGGGAAAGAAACTGTAGGTAAGAGACAACCGCGAAAAAGTCTGGCAAGTGGAATGTCGGTTAATTTGTAGCCAGGTCTAGTCCATGCCATAATCTCCGCATGTATCATATGTGCCGAGACACACCGATCAGTGTGTCGCGTGCATGTGCACCATAGAGTGTATATTATTAATTATCATCATACAAAAAGCGAATAGTTTATGTATTATATAATATTATGTTGCAACATATATTATCGACAAACGTCGAAGAATAATTGATTAGCCGCAAATTCGCGATTAGTTCTCTATTTGACAAAATTGCAAAACATAAATCATAATGTGATGCAACTATTAAAAAAAAATTTATTGAACTTCAATTTTGATTTTTAAATGTATAGTTTCTTGATATCTATAAATATATTGTATAAAAGAATATTATATTTTTGTATTACTTTAAAATAGAAATTTTATTATAAAGATTATAGTACATAAAAAAAAAATATATATATATA